GCTGGGGAGGGGGAGGGGTGGAAGGAGGAGAGTGGCTGGGGAGGGGGAGGGGTGGAAGGAGGAGAGTGGCTGGGGAGGGGGAGGGGTGGAAGGAGGAGAGTGGCTGGGGAGGGGGAGGGGTGGAAGGAGGAGAGTGGCTGGGGAGGGGGAGGGGTGGAAGGAGGAGAGTGGCTGGGGAGGGGGAGGGGTGGAAGGAGGAGAGTGGCTGGGGAGGGGGAGGGGTGGAAGGAGGAGAGTGGCTGGGGAGGGGGAGGGGTGGAAGGAGGAGAGTGGCTGGGGAGGGGGAGGGGTGGAAGGAGGAGAGTGGCTGGGGAGGGGGAGGGGTGGAAGGAGGAGAGTGGCTGGGGAGGGGGAGGGGTGGAAGGAGGAGAGTGGCTGGGGAGGGGGAGGGGTGGAAGGAGGAGAGTGGCTGGGGAGGGGGAGGGGTGGAAGGAGGAGAGTGGCTGGGGAGGGGGAGGGGTGGAAGGAGGAGAGTGGCTGGGGAGGGGGAGGGGTGGAAGGAGGAGAGTGGCTGGGGAGGGGGAGGGGTGGAAGGAGGAGAGTGGCTGGGGAGGGGGAGGGGTGGAAGGAGGAGAGTGGCTGGGGAGGGGGAGGGGTGGAAGGAGGAGAGTGGCTGGGGAGGGGGAGGGGTGGAAGGAGGAGAGTGGCTGGGGAGGGGGAGGGGTGGAAGGAGGAGAGTGGCTGGGGAGGGGGAGGGGTGGAAGGAGGAGAGTGGCTGGGGAGGGGGAGGGGTGGAAGGAGGAGAGTGGCTGGGGAGGGGGAGGGGTGGAAGGAGGAGAGTGGCTGGGGAGGGGGAGGGGTGGAAGGAGGAGAGTGGCTGGGGAGGGGGAGGGGTGGAAGGAGGAGAGTGGCTGGGGAGGGGGAGGGGTGGAAGGAGGAGAGTGGCTGGGGAGGGGGAGGGGTGGAAGGAGGAGAGTGGCTGGGGAGGGGGAGGGGTGGAAGGAGGAGAGTGGCTGGGGAGGGGGAGGGGTGGAAGGAGGAGAGTGGCTGGGGAGGGGGAGGGGTGGAAGGAGGAGAGTGGCTGGGGAGGGGGAGGGGTGGAAGGAGGAGAGTGGCTGGGGAGGGGGAGGGGTGGAAGGAGGAGAGTGGCTGGGGAGGGGGAGGGGTGGAAGGAGGAGAGTGGCTGGGGAGGGGGAGGGGTGGAAGGAGGAGAGTGGCTGGGGAGGGGGAGGGGTGGAAGGAGGAGAGTGGCTGGGGAGGGGGAGGGGTGGAAGGAGGAGAGTGGCTGGGGAGGGGGAGGGGTGGAAGGAGGAGAGTGGCTGGGGAGGGGGAGGGGTGGAAGGAGGAGAGTGGCTGGGGAGGGGGAGGGGTGGAAGGAGGAGAGTGGCTGGGGAGGGGGAGGGGTGGAAGGAGGAGAGTGGCTGGGGAGGGGGAGGGGTGGAAGGAGGAGAGTGGCTGGGGAGGGGGAGGGGTGGAAGGAGGAGAGTGGCTGGGGAGGGGGAGGGGTGGAAGGAGGAGAGTGGCTGGGGAGGGGGAGGGGTGGAAGGAGGAGAGTGGCTGGGGAGGGGGAGGGGTGGAAGGAGGAGAGTGGCTGGGGAGGGGGAGGGGTGGAAGGAGGAGAGTGGCTGGGGAGGGGGAGGGGTGGAAGGAGGAGAGTGGCTGGGGAGGGGGAGGGGTGGAAGGAGGAGAGTGGCTGGGGAGGGGGAGGGGTGGAAGGAGGAGAGTGGCTGGGGAGGGGGAGGGGTGGAAGGAGGAGAGTGGCTGGGGAGGGGGAGGGGTGGAAGGAGGAGAGTGGCTGGGGAGGGGGAGGGGTGGAAGGAGGAGAGTGGCTGGGGAGGGGGAGGGGTGGAAGGAGGAGAGTGGCTGGGGAGGGGGAGGGGTGGAAGGAGGAGAGTGGCTGGGGAGGGTGAAGGTTTCTCATCATGTACATGCTTCCACTTCCAAACTTGAGACAACAGTTTGGTGAAGGCCCTTTTCTGTTCCATCATGACTTTGCCATGGACACAATGCCAGCTGCACAAAGACACGGTCTGACCAATTTGGTGTGGAGGAACTCGAGGGGCCTACATAGAGCCCTGACCTCAACCCTTCTGAAGACTTTGGAATGAATTAGAACCATTAGTTATAAGCCAGGTTTTCATTCAACGTCATTACCTGACCTCACAAATGTTCTTTGGGCTGAATGGGAACAAATTCCCTCAGACTTACTCCAAAATCTTGATCAGAGTAGAGTGGACATCCCATTTTACAATGGGATGTCCTACAAGTTCATATAGGTGTGATGGTCAACTGTCCACAAACCTTCAGCCATATAGTGTGCAAATAATGGATGACCTCCTTCCAGGATGCAGTACCTGAACATTGTCTCTTGATGAGGAGAATTATGTCATCAACCCTCTGTAAGCTTCGACACCATCTGATACAGTATGGGACTTACACCAGGTTTGCCTGCTGGAGGAACGGAGTGACAGTGGAGTGTGCGAAAGGTTACTATACGTGGGTCTAGGGGGATGGACTTTTGGGATAGTGGGCAGAGCCATGCAGTCCATCCTTTTATGCTCCTGAAGTCAACTGATCCAGTGAATTTAAACATGCTTGGGATAAACTCAGGTCTATCCTCAAATAGAAAAAGTCAGACGTGACGGAACCCATCAGCCTTGCATCAATGTTGTAGGTTGTTACCTACAGATCCGGTATGGAAGAATGCCCCGTTTTAGCTTCCTATTGGGAAAAGATCTTTACAACATATCACAGCATGGGCATCGACGTCGGTAGATATCCAGGCCTCTCTAAGGACACCTTGGTAACATCCAGTTAGAGAAGAATGGAAAAAACACGGGACTTGGTCCTGCTGTCTAGCCCATTGGGACTGGGTGGCATTTAAAACTTTAGCCCAATAGAACCACACATGGATATCCTACCGCCACTACCCAGACCAGCTATGTCCCTGACCAAGTAAGAAATCTCTTCATCAGTTCGACCTCTAGTAGTCCTGATTTTGACCCAACCTGGACCCAATTTCAGCCCAAACCTTATGATGGCTTTGTTTTGCAGATGATACCTGGATACATATAAATGTTTTACATATCGTTTCTATGACTCTGGGCTTCATCAAACCCTTCGAGGCCAGAGTTTTTTTTTTAAAGATTAGATGCCAAAAGTTTAGCAGCTTCACTATCGGGGCCGGATTTACTTTCTCTGCTGCCCCAAGGCCAGGTTCCTCAATGCGCCCCCTACCCGCCGAACCCCCCCCTGGAGAATGGCAGACCTGCAGGCTGCATACAAGTGATCTCTGTGACATCAC